CATGCCTTACGCCGCCCTTGGTCATAGAAATGATGTAATTTGAATATATAATATATATAAATACGTATGTCAAGTTATATCTTTATTACTACGTAAAATATATTTAAGAGTTTACGACCACTGTGCTGGGTGATACGTTGTTGAAACAAAAAAAGTTATGCATTCCATCACGTACATAAACAGTGTCGTAATTCACCAAGTGCAAATCAGCAAATTCGTAAAATTTTTGTTTATTTTGAACAATCCGGATAATCGAAAATCCGGATAATGGAGGTCCGGATAATGGAGGTTCTACTGTAGTTCGTTTGATTCTTGGCAATTCTCTTCAGCGGTAGGTGTTATATAACAATTACTATGGTTGTATTGAATGTAAATGGGGTTTGCTTGCAAAACCTCTGCGGACGAAGTCGCGGGTAACAGCTAGTAAATAAATATAAACAAACAACACTAACCCGACAACATTAAATCTAAATACCAAAATGATTAATTTACTGTGTTTTTGTTATTTCTTACTCCTGTTTCTAGGTATTCGGCCGAATAGTGATTAAATATTCGTTACATCACTACTACAGTGGAGCATCGATTATCCGACCCCCGATTAACCGTCACATCGGTTAACCGACCGTTCTAGTCGGCAAAGTTCAAATGTCCGCTAGTGATGTGGCGCTACAATATTCGGCTATCTCTTGGCTACTTTAATATTATTTTTGGTAAATTTTTGCGTGTTTTAGCTGGCAACACTGACTGGACAATAAAAGGGAGGCCAGTATTTAAACGAGAATTAATTTTCTAATTATGAGTGGTTGTTTGTTTTGTGAGCAATAAAATAATTTTTAACGATACAACAGCGACGACTATTATTTAAAAAAAATTTTGTTAGGCTTAATCAACGCGAACTAGGTTAATAGCGATAAACTAATATACAGTACTAATTACATGGGAAAAACTAATACATTATTAGTATATTATATTAGCATATTTTGGCATTTTTTTCGGTTATCGACCAACCCGAGTCCCCAATTGAGTCGGATAATCGATGCTCTACTGTATTTACATATAGGCCTATATTAGTTTTTCTTCTAAATTTTAACTCTTTCTCTCTCAGGGTATTAAAATGACTTTTTTGATGTCCACGGAATGATTTGGCCAAGCCCTTCATCCTACCGTCTGGCATTTATCTCAGCATTATTCTACCGTTACTATCTGATATTTATCTCCTGTGTCATCCTACTGTCCATGTAAATTAGTAGCAAAGTTTTGGATAAAATTTATAATTTCAACTACGAAAGTCCATAAGCATACAAAATATAAAAGATATTGAATTACCTTTATTTAACTTTACATTAAATATGATAATAAATAATTTAATATTTATAGAAATGAATAGAGACAAGTTTCAGTTTTTGAATTCAAATAACCTAATTATTTTCAAGAAATTATTAGGACATAAATAAATCTATATTGTTTGGATATAGGTCTAATTAACTGTTGACTATATCCTGTTTCGTTCAAAAAATGAGGATAGATTTGCATAGCCTAGGTTATATCATCTAGATAAATATATAATTTTCCATTTTCTCTTTTCATATATTGCTTTTTGTATAAGAAATATTGAAACCAATTAAAAAGAAAACTCATTATCGATCAAAAAGAAATGTTCAAATAATTTTATAGAAATGAATAATTTATATGCAAATTCTAAAAATATTTTAAAATTTGCACATACAGTATTAAAATAATGACATAAAAATGACGAACAAATACAGCGGCAACTAGGTACTCGAACTGTTGCCAACTGAAACAATTCGGTATTTGAGCACAAATTCTGGAAAAAAGTCGCTCGATACTCGACTGAACAATCGCGACCGGCTACAACAAATTATCGATTAATACAATATTTTTATTTTGTTATCCATAGAAAATTATGATAAAAATATGAAGAAGTTGCTGATATTTCTGTTCAAGATCAACAAATAAGTTCAGATGACGATACTTTGAAAAATGAAAACGCCTTCGTTTAGCTAAAATTAATATTAACAGTAATTGTGCTGTTAGTTAATTATTGATTGGAAATAAAGTATTGATTGCTTTAATAAATACATTTCTCTTAGTAACGAGAAAGTATAGTATACTTTTGTTAACGTCTGGAACGTAACTCTACGTTTTGCATTAGTCCTTTGTTTCGTATTCGGATTCGCATAACACGGCACTTTTTCGGAACGTAGCCTATCTACCGTTTTATTCGAGGGATACCTGTATTTATATATGCATATTAATGCCACTTTTACTTATAAACATTAAACTCATTCAGGCCTTTAATTAATAAAAATTGATATACTTAAATTATATAAAATTATAATTTAAGTATATCATCTAAGTTAAAAAATTGATATAACAGACCCACCGTGGAGCAAACTGCGGCTCTTCTAGACCTTTACTGTGGCTTCCGCATATTTATATAATTTGTTTTTATTTACAAACTTGATACATATGCATAGTTAAGTGTGATATATATATATATATATGTATATAAAGTCTATCTTAAATATATATATATGTATATGTATATAAAGTCTATCTTAAAAAAGACTTTGAGAAAATAAGTTTATTATAGATTAATTTCTTTTCTTTATATACAGTAAACAATGAACGAAGAACACTTATATAAATGTTCTTTCATTAATTACTGTAGAAAGTTTATGGGTTTGAGTTAGGACACTAACTGTTTAAAATTCAAATTCGGTTCATACGAACATATCCTAACGTAACTCGCATAACTTAAACGGGCAACTGTAAGCTTAGGATATGTTCGTATGAACCGAATTTGAATTTTAAACAGTTAGTGTCCTAACTCAAACCCATAAACTTTCTACAGTAATTAATGAAAGAACATTTATATAAGTGTTCTTCGTTCATTGTTTACTGTATATAAAGAAAAGAAATTAATCTATAATAAACTTATTTTCTCAAAGTCTTTTTTAAGATAGACTTTCTTGCCTAAACGCGTGCATTCTTATGAATGTGATTCGAGTCAAACTATTCTCCTAAGCTGACTATCATAAACTGAAATTATGCTCATGGAAATATATTTTTAATTACATAATATTACGAAATGATGATCAACAAAAAGTTTAGCCATTTGGTTCAGTCATATAAGGGGGGAGGGTTTATTGTACTCATTTTGTTCTATTATAATTATATAGAACAGGAAAACAATTCAATTTTCATAACTAAATAATTAACAAGTAATTTCAAAATGGCAAAAAAATTTTATACATAAAAGTTCAACAGTAAATTCATAGTCTACATTTCAAATGGTTGATGCTGCAATCGTATAGCCTATTCCGGTCTAAATTTTAATTGCTCTTGATTCTTCGAAGCCATAATTCTTAATTTATATTTTAAAAATAACAATTTACATAAAATTAATATATTTGAAAATTATACAGTTTATATTGATTTAATCATTATATAGTTTATTTATTTAAAAAATTTCTGCAAGAGTAAGATAAAAATTTATCTCAATCCATTTGAAATATAAATCGATGAATGTAATGGAATGACCAATATATATTATCAGTGAATATAAATATATCTTCTTAAGCAGCATATATTTGAATGTTCAATAAATCAATTAAATTTTTACATTAACTCCCTCTCATCTATGTGCATTAGTGCACATTTATCATATTCTGATAGGAATTGCTGATACACCTAATTGAATAAACAAAAACGATTAGACATTCAGTGCATCATGTAAAAAATATTGTAGCATTCTACAACATTTTGTGCATTTTATGCCATTATTTTCGTAATGTCACGTGTTATTTTTAATATTGAGACAAAGAACATAAAGAAAATCCTTAGTGTAATTCTAATGTCCTTTTAGCCTTAAAAAAGAGCACATTTTTATATTAAATATTTTAAATTTTTTATTACAGTACTACATTAGGTATAATAGAGTATGAAGTTATTAAAATATATGAAATAAATCTAAAAAATATGAGTTAAATACGGATATTAATTCAACTTTTATCATGTAAACTAATTGATCCGAAATTCGTGATTCATGAAATGGAAAATTGATCAAATATTAGTAAACATGAAGATTTATATAAAGAATGTTCCGGAATATATTAAAGATATCGATTACATTATCAACCAATTGTAGTTGACATATCTTACATCATCCTTCTGACGTAGAATATCCCATTTCACATAATTTATAAAGCGAAACTCAAACATTATTTTCAGAATAAATTCTTTATCATTTCAATTATTGAAGCCAACAAAAATGGCAACTAGAATGAAGATAGCGCTTTTGAGTTCGGCATTATCATTATTTATGTTTGTCACTTTGTTTTGGATGCAGTTCGGATCTACGGAGATGGAAAATCCAAAGAAACCAGCTAAAATTTCTAAAAGAGATGATAAGAAATCACCCTCTACTAAAATAAGATGTGAAGTAAGTTCAAATAAGTTTACATTATATGCAGGAAAATTTGGTTTTATAATGTTTCTTCCTTGATTTTACTTGCTAAAGTGATATCATATATATATTATATCATTTTAACAAGTTTAATTTATTGGTTTATTAAATAATTTCGAAAAAAAAGAATAATCATGATTCATGGAAACGAAGGATCATAAAACAATTACGTAAAATTATAATTTTATGAAAGAATTTTTCATCCTCTTAGTAATAAATCTAACTAGATTTTTTTGCCAAACTGATCATCAATCAGTATTGATTTAATTTTGCCTTGATATGATATTGATTGATCTACAACTTCGGATCATTCTCGGATTACTTCTCTACGTTAAACAAAAAACTTCATGATGGTTTGAATACTGATATATTGTATTTTGAAATTTATTTCGAAAAATTAAACAAATTTTTTCAAAAGGATCATTACGTATATAAATAGACAAATATTTCTAAAGTTGTTATAAAAATTCTTTCCTAACGATTATTCTTTTACTGACTTCTGCTGATGAAAGTGTGAAGCCAGCTGAGATAAAGCAATATCATGTTTATATCTATAGTCTATATATAGAATCATTATTCTACGGAAAGAACAGAATAAACTTCAATAAAAATGAGATATTTTAATTATATTTTTGCCAAATAAAGTTGATTATTTTGCTATTTTACTATTTATATAGACCTACACTATGTTTTACGATTTTCTTTAAATAAACTGGTGATAAAATAGATGTTAAAATAGATAATTCTGGGAAACATCATTGGACTGTCTTATGTACTAGATTAGCCAATGCTCGCAGATAACATCAGATCTGACTACTGTATTTTATGGAATTAGCTTTCCTATATATAGACTATCATTTCCTACTTTTTCACGTCCATTTCGCTTTATCTTTCTAATTTATTTTTCTTTAACATTCTCAACATAAATCGGCGAGTGCTTCTAATTTTTCATAGTCATTCTCTGTTTTGACGAAGCACAGGAGACAAACTTAACAGTTGGATGGCCAAGATGACAAATGAATCAATTATGGTTCTGAGGTGTTGTGTTCGATCTATATCGGTTTAGAAATTTATGGATGGTTGAATCGAATACTGTACAATCCAATTTCTATCATGGACTTAGTCGACTTCAATAACAGACATAAAAAAGGCCTACTTAATTAAACACGGTAAAAAAATTTAAAAAAGGATAAAAAGTTAAGACAAGACAAATCTTTAACAAACACACTCACAAATAATAAATAAATAGATAAATAAATAAATAAAATTAAAAACAGAGTTTCTTAGAGTAGAACTATCTTATAAAAAATATAACATACTTTCCTCATTACTGTACAGTAGAATAATTATTTATTTTCCAATATTTTAAATGTAAACATATTTTAAATTGTATAAAAAATATCTGTATCTAACACGTATCCTTTTAGAATATAAGTTAAAGCAGATATTAATAATTATTTTGCACGAATATAGGAGAATGAAACTTTGATTTACGATTACGAAAGTCAAACGTCTCTTTGGGAGAAGAGTGGAGGGATACTTCATCTTTCTGCTTTAGTTTCAGTGAATTGTATGGGGAGTAAGTATTTTTTATATATGTATATATATTTATTACACTATACTTAAGAGCTATTCAAGTATTACGTCAGCAGTTTATGGGAGTAGGGAGAATGAGTCTTTCATGACTTAAGATTGCCCGATCGTTTATTGTTCTCCCCAGTCTTCAGAAAACTGTCTGAAAATAATTCCTGTGTATTTTGCTAACGATTTTAACTTCTGGGCAGATGAATTAGGAAGAGGGGTATCTTGATTTCTGATGACTGGCGATGATGCCGTAAGAGGGATAAAAAAAAAAATAAGTAAATTTATGCTGATGTAATACTTGCTCTCGAGGAATGATGATTTAATTGTTATTTTATATTAAAGTATTTTAATTTTATTTTAAATCAGAAGAACCAGTAGATGTAACTACGGACAGTTATAAATTANAATAGTTTTTTTTAAATTTTAATAATTTTTTAAAAATTTTCCTAAATCTTTCTTATTTTTCAGAGATTTCCTTAAATATTCTTAAATTTACTTATGTTTTCCCTATTTAATGCCCAAAAATTCTTTAAATTCATCGCCATTTTTCATTTTATTTTTTAAAATAGTTATTGTCTTTTATTATTCTTAAACATTTTAAAAACAAGAAAAACATTTCCTTAAATATTCTTAAATTTACTTATGTTTTCCCTATTTAATGCCCAAAAATTCTTTAAATTCATCGCCATTTTTCATGTTATTTTTTAAAATAGTTATCATGGAATCAATGTTTACAACGGCGATATCGAAAAATCAGAAGCATTTGAAAATCTTTTAAAATCAATTTTCATTCCATCTGGAAAAATACGAATTAACGAAGACAGTAAAAGTATGTAATAATTACAATCGAATTTAATACAATGCTATATTAACATAATAACTAGGCATTTTTCAATCGTTTTCTAATAGTATCACCCCAACATGGTAATTTTTGTCTTGCGGCACCCCTACTTCCTTATCAATGTAGAATTATTCTGCTTTACGTATTTTTACTATTAAGTTACACGTGAGAGGTGTTATGGCGCTGTTTAGCACTTATTTCGCGGAACTCCTAAAATGTCGTTGTGGCACCCTGTTGAAAATCACTGTAATAACGTATAGTAATGGAAGTTTTTAAGTTGTGCGAGACCCTTTACACAGGGTAGTTCCAAACTGCGAGAACAAACTTCAGGAATAGATACAAAGAACAGAAGTGGTCTTATTAACATATGTCTGGAAATTCACTGGTGCTGAGATAGATGACATCACTAGCATCATGAACTGCGTACACAGGATAACATTGCACAACCCTCTACTAAAATAAGATGTGAAGTAAGTTCAAATAAGTTTACATTATATGCAGGAAAATTTGGTTTTATAATGTTTCTTCCTTGATTTTACTTGCTAAAGTGATATCATATATATATTATATCATTTTAACAAGTTTAATTTATTGGTTTATTAAATAATTTCGAAAAAAAAGAATAATCATGATTCATGGAAACGAAGGATCATAAAACAATTACGTAAAATTATAATTTTATGAAAGAATTTTTCATCCTCTTAGTAATAAATCTAACTAGATTTTTTTGCCAAACTGATCATCAATCAGTATTGATTTAATTTTGCCTTGATATGATATTGATTGATCTACAACTTCGGATCATTCTCGGATTACTTCTCTACGTTAAACAAAAAACTTCATGATGGTTTGAATACTGATATATTGTATTTTGAAATTTATTTCGAAAAANCATAAACCTTCCAGGCGCGAGGCCCTTCGGACCGCGAGGCATAGGCGGTGGCCTATGCCTCGCAGTCCACGTCGTCCATGCCTTACGCCGCCCTTGGTCAAAGAATTGATGTAATTTGAATATAAATTATTTATAAATACGTATATCAAGTTTTTTATTACTACGTAAAATATATTTAAGAGTTTACGACCACTGTGCTGGGTGAGACGTTGTTGAAACAAAAAAAGTTATGCATTCCAGTGCAAATCAGCAAATTCGTAAAATTTTTGTTTATTTTGAACAATCCGGATAATCGAAAATCCGGATAATGGAGGTCCGGATAATAGAGGTTCTACTGTATATGCTCAAACTATCCTCCATGAGTTTCACACTTATGTATGACGATGGTACAACTGTGCGATCTCCCGACCGTTCTCATTTGTTTTTCTATATGTAAATATCATTTCTGACATTTTTATATGTAAATATCACCTTATTTCTGACAGGAATATTGTGTCATTCTCACAACATCACACACTTACACAATGGATCTTTTAAGCAGACAGACAACATACTGCATATTCCACTTTCACTGCTATGATTGCTGATAAACAGATCTGTCATGATGCCCACTGGTGTCATCCATCTCTATCGCATTTCTAGACATATGTAAATAGGACCTTTTCGTTCTTTAGTCTTACAGAAATCTACTATTAAAGTTTGTTCCTATAGTTTGGAACCATTCGGTATATGCTAATATAGTACAAACCCTATCATATGACACTTGACATTTTACATGGTCATTTTTGGCACTTTTAACTTTCTCACTTTTGTTACTTCCTTTCCCACGGGCACTACGAGGGTATTTTTTCCATGCTCATTATATGTTCGACCAGACCCACAATGGGGATAGCTGTCGGTGAGTGTAAAATTTCATTAAGTCCGACTCCATTCGAGATATGATACATGACCTTTTCTATCTCCTCACCCTTTGACTTAATCATTAAAATTTAATAGCAACAATGCCCGTATATAAAAATAATCCTGCCAAGTTTAAAAAAAATTTGATCATCCAGCCCTGCGTTTTAACGCTAAATAGACGCACTCACATGCACAGAGAGAGAGGCTTGTAAAAGTTTTTATATTTTTGAGCTCCGTCGAGAAATGCAAAAAATTGGGAGATCAAAATTTGTTCAATAGCCATACTTTCCCAATGTTATATTTTATAACAGCCGGAAATTAACATGGAACCTCAGAGATATCTGCCATCCACCGTTTACACGTCACAGTTAATATGTCTCGATCCAAGGAACTTGCAAAGACTAAATATCATCGTTGCAATATCGTAACTTCTCACATTAGAGATCTATCTGCTTGTGATATTTCCATTAAATGAAAGGTCGCCATATCAACAGTGAGTTTCGTAATCACCAAAAGAGGAGAAAGGAAAGCGAGAATCAGGAATTATGCAAACCGCCCATCGTCTGTAAGAGAACTGGCTGTCCATTTGCAAGAGGCATGGAGGAAAATACCACTCGAAAGATACACCAGAAGTTAGTGGAAAGTATGCCATGCAGACTGTCTGCTGCAAGATGAATAAAAATAGGTCTGGACACGAACGTTATTTTGCATATAGAACCGCCATTTTGGGGCTTTATGAATAGTGCAGGTTTTAAACAAACTTGTACCAGCAGTTAGTTTTATACGACATTAAACTAAAATTACATAAAAGTAGTGAGATTCCAGTCTAATAATAATTTCGGAACATTATGCAATCATAATTTTACGTAACTTAATCAAGTGATTTTAAATAAAGAGCAATCTTATTATTTGCTATCTTGATTGAAACTAATCAAATTCGGCGATAAAACTAATGCAGCTACTATGTAGGCATTTCCTAAAGTGGTGCAATAATATATTATATTATAGTAAAGAATAGACGGTGTTACTCAGAGGTATTTCCGTAAAGTGGGTGAAAAGAAGTGAGAAGAAAGTAGACGTAAGAGAAAGTATTGGTGGCAGGGGCCAAAGGGGATGGAAAAGTGGGAAGGAAGGAAGATAGAAGAGGAAGGGTCCCTGACGCGCATATGAATTTATTAATAGACGTAAACAGAAATAGTACAGAGCAAAATATAAGCATAACCTATAAACAGAATGCCCAGCTCGGGCTACAAAATAAAACACGATAGCAAACTTATGTACATAACATTATTTACAATGGCAGTGCTTTGCGAATTTAACAGATAAGAATGGCCGAGTACAGTAGTAGCAGTGAATACAGTGGCAAAGAGTGAAAGAGCTGTATACATTGATCAATTACATAGAAGATTACATTGCAGAGATAACTTAATGATGAAGCCGGGAGAACACTGGAGAGTTTGCATAGTAGAGAATTNAAAAAAAAAAAAAAAAAAAAAAAAAAAAAAAAAAAAAAAAAAAAAAAAAAAAAAAAAAAAAAAAAAAAAAAAAAAAAAAAAAAAAAAAAAAAAAAAAAAAAAAAAAAAAAAAAAAAAAAAAAAAAAAAAAAAAAAAAAAAAAAAAAAAAAAAAAAAAAAAAAAAAAAAAAAAAAAAAAAAAAAAAAAAAAAAAAAAAAAAAAAAAAAAAAAAAAAAAAAAAAAAAAAAAAAAAAAAAAAAAAAAAAAAAAAAAAAAAAAAAAAAAAAAAAAAAAAAAAAAAAAAAAAAAAAAAAAAAAAAAAAAAAAAAAAAAAAAAAAAAAAAAAAAAAAAAAAAAAAAAAAAAAAAAAAAAAAAAAAAAAAAAAAAAAAAAAAAAAAAAAAAAAAAAAAAAAAAAAAAAAAAAAAAAAAAAAAAAAAAAAAAAAAAAAAAAAAAAAAAAAAAAAAAAAAAAAAAAAAAAAAAAAAAAAAAAAAAAAAAAAAAAAAAAAAAAAAAAAAAAAAAAAAAAAAAAAAAAAAAAAAAAAAAAAAAAAAAAAAAAAAAAAAAAAAAAAAAAAAAAAAAAAAAAAAAAAAAAAAAAAAAAAAAAAAAAAAAAAAAAAAAAAAAAAAAAAAAAAAAAAAAAAAAAAAAAAAAAAAAAAAAAAAAAAAAAAAAAAAAAAAAAAAAAAAAAAAAAAAAAAAAAAAAAAAAAAAAAAAAAAAAAAAAAAAAAAAAAAAAAAAAAAAAAAAAAAAAAAAAAAAAAAAAAAAAAAAAAAAAAAAAAAAAAAAAAAAAAAAAAAAAAAAAAAAAAAAAAAAAAAAAAAAAAAAAAAAAAAAAAAAAAAAAAAAAAAAAAAAAAAAAAAAAAAAAAAAAAAAAAAAAAAAAAAAAAAAAAAAAAAAAAAAAAAAAAAAAAAAAAAAAAAAAAAAAAAAAAAAAAAAAAAAAAAAAAAAAAAAAAAAAAAAAAAAAAAAAAAAAAAAAAAAAAAAAAAAAAAAAAAAAAAAAAAAAAAAAAAAAAAAAAAAAAAAAAAAAAAAAAAAAAAAAAAAAAAAAAAAAAAAAAAAAAAAAAAAAAAAAAAAAAAAAAAAAAAAAAAAAAAAAAAAAAAAAAAAAAAAAAAAAAAAAAAAAAAAAAAAAAAAAAAAAAAAAAAAAAAAAAAAAAAAAAAAAAAAAAAAAAAAAAAAAAAAAAAAAAAAAAAAAAAAAAAAAAAAAAAAAAAAAAAAAAAAAAAAAAAAAAAAAAAAAAAAAAAAAAAAAAAAAAAAAAAAAAAAAAAAAAAAAAAAAAAAAAAAAAAAAAAAAAAAAAAAAAAAAAAAAAAAAAAAAAAAAAAAAAAAAAAAAAAAAAAAAAAAAAAAAAAAAAAAAAAAAAAAAAAAAAAAAAAAAAAAAAAAAAAAAAAAAAAAAAAAAAAAAAAAAAAAAAAAAAAAAAAAAAAAAAAAAAAAAAAAAAAAAAAAAAAAAAAAAAAAAAAAAAAAAAAAAAAAAAAAAAAAAAAAAAAAAAAAAAAAAAAAAAAAAAAAAAAAAAAAAAAAAAAAAAAAAAAAAAGTCAAAGGAACCATATCTCTATATGTAACACTTTGCGAAATATAGCCTCCCCGAAATTACCTACAGCCTACTTCCAGGCGGTATACACAATTACGCTGCGTGCTACACTAAGCCTATCGCGTGTTTAACAGACAGTCCAACACGGTGATCAGACAAACTAACGATATTTATAGGAAAAGAATAAAGAAAAGT